ACGCAAGCATTGGCAGGATGTAGTTGTGGATGATTTCCACCGCATTCATCCACCTGTCTCGGAGAAGGAATGGCCCGACACTGCCCAGAACCGCTCGGAGTGGAGGGAGGTCATCCACCAACGTCCTCAGCCTCGTGATGTCTCCGCCGAGCCAGAGTACCGTTGTGCTTGCGTTAAGACATGTTGCCGCCCCGGCGATCTTAAGCGCCACGAATCTTTCTGCCTTTTACTGCCGAATTAGTCCTTTCGATAGCATTGCCTACAGCAATGGGCAAGTTCAAGGTTCGAGATGTGTGTGTGTTGTTGTTTCGTGTGTTGTTGTTGTTTCGTGTGTGTGTGTGTGCGTGTGCGTGTGTGTGTGCGTGTGCGTGTGTGTGTGTGTGTGTGTGTCTTCCGCTCTCGTTCTGGTTTGAGCCGTCATCACTGTGACCGTGCGAAACGGATGTCACGGGCAGCCAGGAACAACTGCCGTCATGAATGCGAGCATTGCGAAAGACGGTTCTCAAGGCCACAGGACTTGCAACGCCATGCCAAATATTGTTGACTTTGCGATTTCTCTCTCTTCTCTTCTCTCTTCTTGTCGTTGTCTCCCGCTTCTGGGAGCGGCGTGGCCCGATAGGGTAGCTGTACATAGTAGTAGTAGTAGTAGTGTGTGTGTGTGTGTGTGTGTGTGTGTGTGTGTGTGTGTGTGTGTGTGTGTGTGTGTGTGTGTGTGTGTGTGTGTGTGTGTGTGTTGTAGACCAGGCTGAATAGTCTCGATCAATTCCTCAGTCTTGCAAGCTGTTGAATGGTGCAATCCCAGCACAAGCTCCTTCTGCTGTAGCATCGCTATCATCGCCTCCGGCGATGGGCGTCCAATGGTCCAATGGTGTGTGTAAGGCGTATGACTCTGTCAGCCGCCAATGCCTATGGATTATCCTCTAGAAGGCAGGTGTCCCTGAGCGCCTCATCAACATCATGCGCTCTTTCCACACCAATATGACAGGAACGTTGAAGATCCCGGGAGTTGATGCGCCACCAATCGAGGTGCAGAACGGTCTCCGACAGGGTTGCTGCATGGCACCGATACTCTTTAATCTGTTCATGTGGGCCGTTTTCCAGCAGTGGCATTGTGCTGTTGCCAACATTCCTAGCATTGGTATTCCTGTGGCAACAAACCCTGGGGTCTTCTATTCAGTCGGAAGCCAACAGACAAGACCAAGGTCCATTGTGAGTGTCCATTTGAGGATGACACTGCTTTGCTGGCTACCACTCATGATGGTGCCCAGTGGGCCCTTGACCAATTCATACATGTAGCGTCTTCTTTCGGCTTGACAGTCAACCTGGAAAAGACAAAGGTGATGGCTGATGGATATGGACTCACGGAAGCAGACCGGCTGCCCCTGGAGGTGAGGTGGTCGAGAGTGTAGATAATTTTCATTATCTTGGCTCTCTCCTTCACACGAATGGCCGATCCAACCCGGATATCAGCTTGCGCATTGTTGGTGCATCACGTGCATTTGGAGCAATGCGCCAGCCAGTTTTCAATGACAGCAACCTTTCCCTTGCTACGAAGAGGCTTGTGTACGAGGCATGCGTGTTGTCTCTGCTTCTGTACTGTGCTGAGTGCTGGGTGCCGTTGAAGCCCGACCTTGATGCACTATGCTCTTTTCATCTGCGCTGCATCCGTTCCGTAATGGGTATCAGCCAGCGGAATGTCTGGGATGAACGACTGACCAGGGTTGATGTTCTGGCCCAATGGAATTCACATCAACTCCGTGATATCCCCAACCTGCTGACATCACACTGCCTGGAGTGGCTCGGGCATGCTGTGCGAATGCATGAAGAGCGTGTCCCGCATCAGCTACTGTTTGGCACCCTACATTCTGTCCGTTCGAAGTGCGGCCCGAGGAAAAGGTGGCGCGATGCTGTGCGGAAGGATCTGGCACTGTTGGACATCGACAAATGGTACGACTTGGCCGAGGATAGACGAGAATGGCGGGCTGCTTACAATGTTCTTCCGTTTGTGCTCCTCAGCGGGTACCTTGTGCAGAGTGTGGTCGTCTCTTCTCCAGGAAGAGCAATCGCGGTCATCCGTGCTTTTATAAGAACGAAACGGCGTTTTTAGTGACTTTTCCATACAAATCCCTATCAAGTAGGGCGCAGTCACCCAGTTTCGGTGGAAGTGCGCGAGTTCGATTGGAAATAAAGGAGGAAGGGAGCGTCTCAGCATCCTCGGACCAGGACCATTCGATTCAGCACCCCAAAGACAACTGGTGAAAATTTGATTTTAGGGTATACTTCCCCTTCAACCCTTTACCGTTTTAGGTATTTGTACAGCAAAAACCAACCGTCATTGTTCATGCCGTTACTTTTTTTAGTTTTCATTTTTGTTATGTACAAGGGGCGATTCTGAAAGCAAAAACCCTCAAGAATGCGATGCAACAACTTTCAAGTCCAGAAAACGAACACAGATTTCACTAAATAATTATTAGTGCTAAATTTTAGCACTAATAATTATTTGGATTTATTGCCGATCGGGCAAACTGTGGTGATATGCAATAAATCAGATCCTTGCCCTGGGTGGCTCTCTCAGGTAAGTGGATACCAGGTTCGTTCTCTGGGTGGAATGCAGGAGTGTTACCAGTCACAGCAGTGTCAGCATTGTCCCAAGTATTGCAAATATCGACTAGTGCAGGTTGCACCGCTGGCCGTACATAGTATCTGTGCACCACGACCTCTACCGTGACGACGGCCTATTCCACGGCCGAATCCTCTCTCTCTGCCACGTCCCCTTCCACCATTAGTGGCACTCATATCAGCGACACTGCCGTCGTCTGTGACATCCATGTCACTCTCACTGGCGCTGCTTTCACTCGCCATGTCATCGTCGCAGTCGTCGTCAGAATAAATATTTTCATCAGGATTGTCTGGCTCCACAAACTCATCTTCGCTGGATGAGGCAGCGAGAGAGTCGTCAAGAAAGGTCTCCAGAAGCGAAAGAGCTTGTTCTGCGTCCATGGCTTGCACAGGAGGGCAAACAGTCGTGAGGCCAGCTGAAGCAAAAGTCGAAAACATCTGCAGGCAATACATTAAGTCGCAGGGTACGCACTTTTTCCAAAGCGCATTTTTCAATTCGCGATTTCCGCGATTTTTTATATTACATCAACCAAAAAAAATTGTCGGCACCCCCTGCACGTAAATCTTGGCTACCAGTAGGGAAAATCCCAGCTCTCTGCGGTGAACCAATCCAGCGCTGTGCGCATAGAAGTCATCGACCGCGAGCGGTCGAATTTTGTACGTACAAACAGTAAAGGGTTAAACAACGAAAGGAATGCAAGCACAAATAACTGACTTCTTCCTGAAACTCAAACAAACACAAAATAAGCTCATGGTCAGGATCGCCCTGACCCGTGGCAAAGCGGCTTCTATGACGTCACATACACATAAACATCAACATAGTTAATTCTTGAAACACCACCCATTCTCCATCCAGAAATAGCTAAAAGAGAAGAAAAAAACGCAGCTGACCATAAGGAAAATCGTAATGGTTGTCGAGATACGTTATTTCATGGGATGCTGCCAAATATCGACCAAACTAAGGGGTCGTCGCAAAAGTTTTCTGTCGTCCCTGAAACGAACATCGTTCATTTCGTACTTGGACCCCCCCCCTTCCCTCTGAAACGAACACAGCTTGCTATGCTGGACGACGAAAATCGCATGCATGTACATGTCATATGTACAGTGTCGGTCGACTTGCGATTTTTGCTCGCACCCCCCCCCCCAAATGAATCATGTTCGTTTCAGGGACGACAAAACCCTTTTGCGATGACCCCTAAATGGAAACACGGGCAAAGCAGTGTAGTGGACACACATCCACCTTTGAAGTTAGTTTATGCACCTATGATTATTGTTTCCGTTTATGCCACACATAATCCTATTTAGCCTCTTTGGTGGCCGCGTGCTGTCCGGCATGCCAGTTGTACCGTACTCAATTTAGCTGTACCTGCCCGGTTTGCTCTTCCTTTCATCTCTCTGTCGTTCCCTGTGCTCAAACACACTTGTCAGTTGTTGTAGACAAAGCTACTTCCTCCGCGTCATTAAATTGTCGCTTCCCAGAGCGATTTTTCGAATTTATTTTGTCCACTCGAAGGGCAAAGAAATCAGCTAGGTATTGAGGTAGAGCATTGTCGACGGACCAGGCTTTAGTTTGTGGCCTCCCGCTTCGCTGAACTTGCAGCTAAGGCCGACGTCTTCATCAGAGTTTGAGGCAGACCCTTCAGCACTCAACAATACGTTGAACAAGATGCGTGTTCAAATCCAGGTCACTGAAAAGCTTTCTTTTTCGAGCCATCCATGCCTCCAGGTGGCAGGCGATGAAGGCAAGCTAGCATTTTTCAAGTACACTGTAACGACCTTCCAGCGGGATAGTGTAAGCAGTTCCGCACCTTCTTTCCTTGGCAAGCGCTTTGCTGATTTTGTTGGTGTTTTCAGACCTGCTACCTTCGCAGCAACATGCACCACAAGTTGCGCATTTTAGGAATTTGTGAACACTTTGTTCTTGCCATCGTCAACTTCAGCATTTCGTATTCAGGAGAGATGCCAGGATTCTTATACCGAGCTTGCAGTCGTGATAAACGCCCACGCAAACGAGGTGGGACAGCACGAACTCCAGAAAAACGATATGCGCTCTGGGGCGGAATAGTGCGGAACGCAATGAATTTGCTTGGTGCGGAAGAGAGCTCCGACAAAGTCCAAGACCACCACGGCTGCAGTAACAAGTAGACATTGCGCAGGAAGGATGGCACCAATGTTCGAACACAGAAAACAGCGACTCCGACAGTCTGACTAAGACGAGCCAAATCACAAACATTGCGATGTGCGAAGCGACAATTTTAATGACGCGGAGGAAGTAGTCACAAGACGTCTTTGGTAAGCTTGAAGAACGACTACAAGCAACATGTAAATGTTGTGCAGACTGCAGTCATGGCAGGGCAGGATGAAGGTTCACAACACTTCTTACCATTCACAGATGAAATTGCAGCGAAGCCAACCGCCAAGGTGATGAACAAGTTGCCTGCAGATGTCCAAAACACAAGGACAATATTCTGATACCGGTGTGTGTAAACTTTGAACTATTGGATTGTCCCCATTTTTCAGTTCTCCCGTCACTTTTAAAATTAAAACTGTGTGGACCCTGGCTAGTGCCACACGTTACTGAAGAAAAGTATTATGCATAGCTACGGGAATTAAACCCTTTACCCACAGAACTCAATGTATGCAGAGCGTTCCACTGTCTAAATTTTACTTTGAATTGGCCACAACTTTGGTTTTCCTTGGACAATTGTCATACCGTATGTCAGTGCCTTTAAAGCCATAGCCTTATATTCGAAACACCGCTGCTTCCCTAGCTATTTTAGATGCAAAAAGACTCACCCACTACGCCATGCCAAATCCACTTGTTCACCCTTTCTGCTGGACTGTAAGTTTGTTAGTATAGTACTTACTCCTTTATTTTTACAAAACATACTTCAAATATCATTTTTATCTATGAAGCCTATGGCTTTATAACTGAGACTGGCTTTATAATCGAGTATACCACCATGGCTTTAAAGGTGCGGATACGGTAATATCTTCCTCATGAAAGGAACACATTGTGAACTCGAACTCCATTCTATGAGATCCTCTGGCTCAGCGCTGCAAGCTGGCAAAGCTGTTGCAGGGCGGCCCCGCACTGTCAATCGATCTTCATCTCGCATTTTGTTCTTCTTGCTCGTATCAAGCTCATTCTTTTATAGCCACTCGCGGGAATCCTTGCTTGAAATTGAGTAAGTCTATCCTTTCCAACAGCTGACATGGGCAGGGAAAACCCCGGCTGTTCTTTTCACACATTAGGCCCTGAGCGTAAATTGACTACGACCAAAAAGAAAGAAAAAAACCGGACTCGGATGGAGAGCCAACGATAAATTGATAGAAAAGAAAAGGGGAAGAGTGTGTTGCTCCCTACACGGGAGCTCGCGGTTTTCCTGCCGACTTGAATTCTCACTTGACTGAGTCACGCTTGCCATCCAGAGCACGCGAGAAGTCCATCGAACCGTCCACTCGACAAACCTGCAAGAAAGCTCCACTCCCTGCTCTATATGCAGTGTTTTGGGGAATTCACCCCTCATCAGTTGAGCTTGAGTAGGCTGAGGAAGATGGTGCCTGAAAAGCACCACTTATATACTGCTCTCCAGGCACAAATATCACCAGGGATACAAAATTAGAGAGACGCTCCATTTCCAGTGCGACAAACACCTCGTGAACACCAGATAGTCAGTGTCGGCAGGAAAACCGCGAGCTCCTATGTAGGGAGCAACACACTCTTCCCCTACTATCGCCGACGTCGCACCAACCTCTTCTCCACATAGAAAAGAAAAAGGACCAAGGACCAAGGAGCTACAAGGTACACTATCAGGACTGCCACTTGCTCCGATTTTTCGGAACTCGTCCGATTTTTGATCGCCTGCCGGACAAACTGACCGATTGTGTTCCAAAAGAGAGACAACGGATTATTTTATTTGGAGCGCTTTTTAGTCCAGTTGGCCATTCGGCGCTTCCAGGTCGCGTTTGGCCGGTCATTAGAGAGGTTCCGCATTACGTAAAGTTGAGCAACTTTACGTTAGTGGGCGGGGAAAACCCGTGAATTCGCGAGTTTGCACTCCACTTACGGAAAGTTGTCTACGGAGAGTACGTAGATAGGGCTCTGATAACGTAGCTGGTCCGTAAGTGGATTGGGGTACAAATTTATGACTCTCTCCCCAGGTTGATCTGGTCGTACACTGCCGCGTTCGGAGTTGCCAAGGGCAGCTACGTGATTTGAAAACTCCGTATGGCGGAACCCAGATCCGCATGCAGTTTACGTAAGACTTTCCGTAGATCGACTACGTTTTTTACTAACGTAATTACGTTATGCGGAACCTCTCTATTGTACATGTACATGTACACGTAGCTGTAAAATGCATGAGTGCTTGCATGTGTATGGACAGTTAAAATGTGTTTTGGGGCCCCAACAGCAAGCCATTTTCCTAAAACATTTTAACGGGGGACACCCCGAACCCCCGTCAGATTTTTCTCCCTCCAAGTGTGGCAGCCCTGCGCTATAATGTCCACTAACACCACCAGTTACTTACAATCAGCTCATACAATAACATTGCACGACACTGACCAAAAAAACGTGTCCGATCCCCTACAAAAACTTCTATACATGATCGCCCAGTACATACGAACAATTTACAGTAAAACCCAATTTTAAAAGCCTGACGTAAAAGTCTGTTTTTTGCTGATCAAGGCTCATATTTCAGTTTCTCCAAACTAATGACATTCGACTTTAATAGTCACAATAGTGTGAAGATTTCGAATTTTATCAATCTCCCATGCCCGATAATAGTCGATAAAAATACGGTCTTTCCTCTCAAAGAGTTAAGAATAGAAAACCTCGTCCTTTTCCGGGAAATGTACTTCATTCTTTGTTCGAGTCTGTATCCTGTTCGAAATCATAGTCAAACAAAAAACTTGAAAAGCGAAATGCATGACGAGGTTTTATTCTCAACACTGTATCTGCTTGCCTTAATCTCAACCATGCATTCTCTGCTCCATACAAGGCAGCCTACTATCTGTGTACATAACACAGTCTTTGCACAGGACTGGTCATGTTATTCAGCATGCATCGCACACCTCTCTACTCATACCAAAGGCATATTTGGCACATCATCTGTAGCAACTGCACCAGTATATCAGGCTCACACATAGTACCGTATTTCCTTGAACACCCGCCGCCCCTTGATTACCAGCCGCCCTTGAGTAAGCGCCGCCAGTTTATTTGAACTGAGGGTTATTGGTACACAAGTGCAGAGCAGTTCACAATTTATACGCAATTTCACAGGTACGAGATGACCTTCAGCTACGATGTCATACTCCTTCACATGCAGCTAGTGCTGCTCTCTGTTCGGACAAAGGACTCAAAGGCGATCTAAAGGGAATTAATCGAACACGCCATGATGATGATCTCTCACAACATAGCGAAGAGCAAGACGAGTTATTTTATCGACCACCAAAAAAGAAAATGGGAGGCGAAACAAGTAAACGGATGAAATGTAAGACGCACTGAGGATTGTCAAATCTAGAAAACCAAGAGCTCGGATCTGAGAACTTGTCTAGGAGAAAGTGGACACTGACGCTATGAAAGAAACGAACGCAGAAAGAGAGAAATCAAACAGGAGAGAACAAAACTTGCGCGTCCTTTTTATTATTGCATCCAAAATGTTCAGCGTCGACGTCTTCTTGAAGCCCCTCTACTTTATCCTCGTCGGCATGAGGGACTGCTGCTGCTGAACATGCAACTAACTTGCTAGTCGAGCCTCAAGCTCTCTCGCCATGATATTCTTTCCAGCGCAACAGGAAAAGAAAAGAAGATGCCCTAGCCTACAGTGTAGCTGGACAACAAAGGTTCAACAGTGCACATCGTACGTGAACTCTACGCCTACAGCACGCACATTGCGACGTAAAACTATTTTTCAGGGCCACACCCGTTTTGCTAGTTTTGAATACAGGCCGCGGCGGCTGTTCAGGGAAATACGGTACAGAAGTAGGGGTGAAACGATTAGTTCGAATATTCGAGTAATCGCTCGAAAATTTCAAACGAGCGAGTATTCGAAATTTTGCACTCGATTTATTTTATTTTATAGAATTGACAGTCTATTTTTCAAAAGCTTTTGTTGTACCATTCGTCCACTGGTACATGGTATGCATACATTATGCATGCCTCTGAGTCAATATTTTATGACTTGGACGATGCGATCACCACGGCAAGTAAGGCCACACGTTTATATTTCTATGCTTCTCGTCACCTGGAAATCTAAAAACGTATGTGAGGTGGAAATTAAAAAATGACCGAAAAATAAAAAAAGTTCATTACACCTTTGGACACACTAAAATCCACCAATACACCATGCAAAATAGCATCCATAGTCAGCAACTAGTATGTGGTGGGAGCTTCTGTCACAATCTGTGAATGTGCAGCTAGATTGCGCACAAAAATGGCGACCTCGCATCATGTGTCGCGCAGCCCAGGCCACATTATGTACATGTGCATGAGCGTGCTGGTCCCCACATGCACAGTCAGTGCAGCACAGTCTTTTTTCAGACTCCTGAATCATATGCGTGCGGGTGACGAGAAACATAGATATAAAAACGTGTGGCCTAACGTAAGTTATGAAGTACGGATGAAAATCGGTACTTTACACTCTGTACAAGACGTTGGCGACTTTTGTTCTATGTTTACAGATAATTTCTTCCGAGTCGGTCAAGAACTCACAGATCTAGCGCTTTTGAGTTTTGATAAAATACTCGAAATAATCGGATACTCAATCGAGTATTATGAATGAGTGATCGATTGGTCAAAATAGATACTCGTTTCACCCCTACACAGAAGATAAGGCCGTCATTTTTTATATCTATGTTTCGCGTCAGTTCAACTTCCAGAATCATATGCGGGAGGTGGAAAAAAATAAAAAAGTGCAAAATAAAAAATAAAAAAGGCTCATCAGAGGTGTATAACTGTACATAGCACAATAGCTCGTGCATGGTGTACATTCGAAAGAAAAATCGTACATCGAAGCACAAAATCTGCTTCACTTTGGACAGAGGAGGCAACCGCTGGTGCCCTTGCTTCGCTGGATTATTGTACTCAGCCTTCAGCAGCGGTGCAAAGAGCTCCGGAACGACGCATCCTCTCAGCTTGAGGCGATCGATGCGTTCTGTTGTAAGCTCATAGAATACTGCTCGCAGATGCCGAACAAACGATTTACCAACGCTGGCCTCGAGGCCATTTCTGAATCCCAGCTTCGCTAGTATGCAACCAGTCCACACTGATGACTCGCACGATCGTACACTAACTGTGCATGGTTGTTTTGTTTTTTTCCGAAAAAAATCAAAACGTATGCGGGCGGACGACGCGAAACATAGATATAAAAAATGATGGCCTAACACAAGTAATAAAACGTACCTAGAGACGCCATTTTGTTTGTTGTCGGAGTTTCAATATACTCTGGCTGGAAGTATAAAACCATCAAAAAACATGAAGAACGACATGCACACACACACGCAGACACACACACACACACACACACACACACACACACACTTATACTTGTATTTCCCTCACTGCCAAATTTGGTTAGAGGAGAGAGACTCAAAAGGGATCTTGGAAAGAGGACTCAATTGGCTATTGAACCGCCCAACGGCCGACACTCCCCTCCTCTCCCCCCCCCCCCCCCTAAACACACACAAATCCCCAAACTATGGCCCGGTATGGGTGGACATGCGAATGATCTCACTTACGGGTACACCACACCTCGGTAAGTGGGTGAGGACAAGGTGCAGAAAAAGGATTGACGGCATCAGGGTATCCGTCCTGGGATCCAACTGCAGTTACCCCTGCCCCCAGTAAGGGGTAATACTTGCTACGAGTGTGGGTGGCTAAACGAGAGAGCTTAGAAGCTCAGGGCCATACGCTATGCTTTGTTGCCTAACTCATCGTGCATGTTATTAGAACTGATTGAAATGTTTTTTCCTTTGATTAGCTACATCATTGTATTGCAAAAACTTTTTAATGAGTTACTGAAGTAACGTCTTCTGCATAGCTAGGGGACCAGCGCTGACTCTGCCGATCACGGGCGTTCTGGAGTTGACGGCATGTCTGTCCAGACGTTTCCTGGGACCGGCGCTGACTCTGCCGATCACGGGCGTTCTGGAGTCGACAGGATGTCTGTCCTGACGTTTCCTGGGACCGGCGCTGACTCTGCCAATCTCTCTTCCGACGTTTCTTGTGACCGGCGCTGACTCGCCCGTTCACGCTTATTTTGGAGACGACGGGATCTCTCTTCCATAGTATGTTTTTGCTAACGCATCCTATCACCTATTCGGCAACTAACGTCCATTCTACATGTAATAGGGAGGTTCCGGAGTACGACTTTTCGTGCCAAAATCCGTGGAGGCGCTACAGATTTTTTATACGTCGTTTTCGAGCAGTAAAAAGTTCCGGGGTACGGAACTTATGTGTTTGCCGTCATTGCCTAGGTTACGATCGCAAACACGTGACATTCCCGCGCTATGCCTTTATATTTTGAAAATTTGTACCGAAATCAAAACTTCCCGCGGAAAATCCATGTTTCTCGTACCAAATTTGTACGCGAAAAATCTTTCTGCACCCGATGACGCAAAATCTCCATACGAAACATGGTTCGTGTGAAAGCCAGTCCACACGGATTCTCCGTGCCGAAAAATCGTATGGAGCAAGCCTGAAAAAAAATCCGTAGCGCCCACACGGATTCTGGCAAGGAAAATCGTACCCCGGAACCTCTCTAATAATATTGCATTTCCTTCTCGTCTCCCTATTTCGTTCCTGAAAATCTCCCTATACATCAGGGAGTCGTATACATAATACGACGAATATTGTGGCCAGCTGTGTTTGATGGTACGGTACGGGACAGATACGGGAGCCAGCAAAATTTTGTGGCCACAGGGCTTGCTCTAGACATTCAACACAGCCCGGTTAGAGTGTATCTGGCGCATGCAGGCCAGCCGGGTCAGATCATCCGGCAGAAAAACAACCAAAAGGCCTGCTCAAAACGCAGGAAAACAGAAAGGCGAATTTATTACCGGGAATCGGAAATTTTAGAGAACAAGGCGAACTATCAAAGTCCGCAACCGTAGAAGGTAAATGACATTACGTGAAGAATGCAAAGCAGTACCATTGGATTCTGATTTAACAATTTGAAAAAAAGGAATTCTGTTTTCTCATTAGTGCTAGTAGCAGGACGAACATGTTCACATAATAGAGCACTGGGGGGGGGGGGGGGATGCCTGCAACACCTTGTGGAGTGGCTGCTTGCTTCCACTGCATCATCTGCATGGCCAAGCCGACTGGCATCTGCTGCACCATCTGCTGAAAGGCTTCAGCAGACTGGAGAACTGGTGGAGTTGCAACTGATGCTGCTGCTGCTCCTGCTGCTGCTGGCGCTGTCGCTGCTGGCGCTGCTGCTGGCGCTGCTGATGCTGGTGGCGCTGTTGCTGCTGCTGCCGCTGCTGCTCTGGGTGTTAGGGCCAGGTCCCTCCGTTCAGACGAGTTTGATGTGGCAGTCGTAGTGCGCCGAGTCAGCTCAGAATGCCATGCAGCCATAGCCATGTCGTAGTTGAAGTCGGCGATGGCAGGAACGTCGAGCTTGATTGCCATGATCATCTCCAGATTCCTTGTCGACAGCGAGTTCCGCATCGCCGTCTTCACAAGCTGAAGTCTCGCTCGCATTCAGCAGTGGACAGGCAAACGGCTAATCCCCCGTCAGCGATGGGAGCCAGGTTCGGGTAGTCTCAAGCATGTTGCTCGGCGAGAATCTCGAACATCTGCTGCACGCCTTTCGAGGCCCGGAGGTTCGGGTGGGTGA